CAAACTCTAATCTGGCCTTCCTGTTTTTGAGGCTCACCATTGGTTTACATCTTGTGGTGAACCCTCTGTATTCACTCTGGTGAAGTCTTCTCTTGATTGGTGACTTTGACACACATACACCTACCTCCTGGAGAGTGTTCTTGATCTGGCCAACTGCTGTGAAGGGTGTTTTTCTTCACCAGGGAAAGAATTCTTCGGTCATCCACCACAGTTTGTTTTCCATGGTCTTCCGGGTCTTTTGGTGTTGCTGGCTCACCGGTGCGTTCCTTTTTTTTAAGAATGTTCCAAACAGTTATTTTGGCCACGCCTAATGTTTTTGCTATCTCTCTGATGGGTTTGTTTTGTTTTTTCAGCCTAATGATGGCTTGCTTCACTGATAGTGACAGCTCTTTGGATCTCATCTTGAGAGATGACAGCAACAGATTCCAAATGCAAATAGCACACTTGAAATGAACTCTGGACCTTTTATCTGCTCATTGTAATTGGGATAATGAGGGAATAACACACACCTGGCCATGGAACAACTGAGAAGCCAATTGTCCCATTACTTTTGGTCCCTTAACAAGTGGGGAGCACATATGCAAACTGTTGTAATTCCTACACCGTTCACCTGATTTGGATGTAAATACCCTCAAATTAAAGCTGACAGTCTGCAGTTAAAGCACATCTTGTTCATTTCATTTCAAATCCATTGTGGTGGTGTATAGAGCCAAAAATGTTAGAATTGTGTCGATGTCCCAATATTTATGGACCTGACTGTATATATAGATATAGATATATATAGAGTTATAATTTTGGGGGGTTTTAAGTAATTTTAAAAAAAAAATACAGTTTTTTACATGTAAACAAAACGTGTCAGAAAAAGGCTTGGGAAGAGATTTATTAAAGCAGGTGCACTCAGAATCTAGTGTAGTTGTGCTTGGTAGCCAATCAGCTTCTAACTTCAGCTTGTTCAATGAAGCTTTGACAATACAACCTGGATGATGATTGGTTTCTATGCAGAGCTGCACCAGATTTATCACCATGCAGTTTTAGTAAATAACCCCCCATTTGTCTTCAAGTGGTTATATAAAGAGACATTGGCGGCGGGTGGCCAGGTATAAAGTTTAAAAAAAAAAAAAACAGCCAAAAAAAAAAAGTGCCACTTTAAATTGCAGAGGGTAGCGGCAATACACAAAGCCTTAGATGGTCTGGAGGGGTGAAGGCCCACTTTAACCTACATGGAACCAATGACTACGTTGTTTTTTAGTAATTTTACGGCAGGATGCCAGGACATCTGTAATCTAAAACTCAAATAAGTCGGGTCATGCAACATGACCGAAATCCAAAACATGGAGATAAATTAAACAGAGTAGCTCAAGCAGATGAGAGTCCTAATTATAGAAATTACCTGAGCCCTGCAACAACGCTGTGATGTGATCTCAGCATGACGTACAAACATTACATTGCTAAATACAAGAACTAAAATTGACAGTATTACAGCTTACCGGTCCCTAGATGTGTTGGCTGCATTAGGTTTCTATTTTCACACTTTTTCTCCTTTTTTGGATGTGGCCACCCAGATGACCCCTGTGGCCATCTTTAGTGAGAGCTGTGCTTGTAAAAAGCACTGGCTCATTGCATTTGGTGCATTTTTTTTCTGTGGTTAGGTCAGGGACAGGAACCTGCTTGATAGGGAGAATGTGCCTGGCATAGGGAGAGGTTCCAGAGGAGGGACAGCATAGGGACTGTCATTAAAGCTACTATGGGGAACCTTTGCGGGGCAGCACAGTGGCTAAATGGTTAGCAAACTTCGTCTGGCAAGTACTAGGGTTGTTGGTTTGAATACCAACCACGGCACCACCTGCCTGGAGTTTGCATGTTCTCCCTGTGCCTGCGTGGGTTTCCTCCGGGTACTCTGGTTTCCTCCCACACCTGAAAGACATGCTGGTAGGTTAATTGGTTCCTGTCTAAATTGTCCCTAGTATGTGTATTGTGACAGTAGGCAGGTGAAATCACCTGGTTGCGTCCTGGATGGACGATACATTTGTCCAAGGTTCAGACTCTATGGGGATTTGTTCCACTAGGGGGAAGTGCTGAGTCCTTCAGCACTGGGTTAATGAGCCCAGCTGAAGGTAGTGGGCTCATTAAGGCTGGTATAAAACCTTCCAGCCTGCTTAGGGAGTTGCTCCAACCTGGAACCAGATCTGTGCCTGACTGGGGAGCAACAGCCTATCTGTGTGCAGGGAGACAAAAGCCTGTGTGGCGAAGCCTCCAACTACCAGCAACTAGGTATAGCATCAGGCTGTACCTAGTGGATAGCTAGGGAAGCTATTTGTACAGTAAGTAGCCAAGTTGGTCTTGATTTGATGTTTCTTTTTGGTTTGACGTTTTTCTGTAAATATTGTAAATAAACTGCACCTTTTTGTTTTTCACCTCCACTGTTGTTGTGCTGTGCCTGTGTTTTTGTGTTGTGCACCCATCCAGGGGGTCACAGACACCCGCTGCCGAGCGAACCCCATTACAGTATGTATAAATGAAAGTTAGGGACCTTAGATTGTACACCCCTTGAGGGTTAGGGACTGATGTGATTGTACAATATATATGTAAAGCGCGGCGTAAATTGACGGCGCTATATAAGTACCTGAAATAAATAAATATATGCACTCTACTAAATGACAGTGCAGAAGCATTCTAAAAAATATTATAAGATCCTCTGATATTCCTAGTTCTCCTACCCACCTTCTCTCCATCTGGACAGTAGAAAACCTCAACAAAATCGCTCTGCTGTTGGGTGATCTGTAAGAAGTGCTGGTCTGATTGCTCCAGAAGGCTCTGCAAATCTGATGACATCAGACAGTCTATGGGGCAGCATCGTTCTGCAAAATAACAGACAGCATTAGATACATTTGGCTTTGTAGAGAAACTGGAACAAAGAATTGCTGCTGCCTATCAAAGTTATACAGGCAGCACACACCAGAGTGACAGTGATGTGAAACAATAAGGCTCCATTCACACAGGCAAATAGTTCGCTGCACTTAGAGGCGACTGAACGCTGCCAATGGAGGCAGATGCACTCTGTGTCATGGGCACATGCACGCTGGCTGATTAGCTGTGGCCAGAGACAACATATAAATGCCATTCCTGGAAACACACTGTCTGTGTCCAGGGTTGGTCAGAGGCTTTACTTACATGTATCCATTCGGATAAGCAATTTTGTGAATAACAAATAAACCTAAAAAAGAATTTTCGGTCAGAGAATAAGTGCAGCAGCTGCCCCTGACGTCGTATGTGACGAAACGCGTATGGAGGAGCTAATGCTTGTGACGTCATCACGCACCTAGATCTAAGTATGCGGCCCATCTCAGTCCTGGGATTGGCTCATGTTTGACAAGCACTTTGTCAGGAATGGACTTGCCAATAATGGTGGGACTCACCTGCCTTGTGGGCTGCAGTACCAGGGCTGGCCAGCGGGTGCTCTCAGCAATCAGAGACTCACCCCTGCAGTCAGCCAAACACCTTAAGCTGATTGCAGGGGTTGTATTTAAGGAATGGCCAGACTCACAGTCAGGGCCTTGGTGTGTGTATTTCCATGGGCCCCTGTATCTTGTATCCTGTGTTCCTGTTCTGGTTTCTGCCTGACTTGTTGCCGACCCTGCCTGATCCTGACCTCTGCTGACTTCTCCTGTTTGATCCCTGGCTTGTGATCCCGACCATTCTCTGCCTGACCCTCTGCACCGCGCTGCCCGTGAGTTACTGAACCCAGCTTGTGACCCCGACCACTCTCCCGCCTGTTCTTGGTACTCCGTTTGCCCGTTTGCTACTGACCCGGCCTGCCTGACGACTCTTGCATTGTATGTATTGTTATCTGTAGCTGGTTTGGTTTGTATGCACTGTGTTTATGTTTAGTTTTGCACTGCGTTTTGTATTGTTAGTCTTAATAAATCATATTGTTTATACCATATCTGAAGCCTGCGTTTCCCTGTGTCAGTTCACACACCTCTGGTCATACCCGGAGCCCTGACACACTTATTCATTGTAACACTGTGAGTAATTAGTATGTTTAATAAACTTTTGAATGCGGTTTTACACTATGTGGCTCCTTTGGCTCTCTACTTACTATATAGCCGAGTATTACAAGCAGAAGGACGAGGCTTCTATGAGGGTGTAATCGGACTAAAGGAGGTGCACATTGCCTCAGACAGGGACCAAATGGATACATAAACATATTTTGACTCTTTTTCTGATTGCATTTGCTTTGGTAAGCGTATTTTATTGAGCACGAGGTGGTGGATCACTGCAGTGTTACGATTTATGAAGAGCTATGTGATGAAGTGTGGATGAAGACTGCATCTAATACTCTGGGACTGTTACTTTTTTCCTGCAAATATTTTTTGGACTCATTTGTATTACGATTTATGTCAATTGTTGATCATTGTTCTCTGAGCCTTGATTCACACTGATGCGGTGTGGAATTTGCAGTTTTCTGTGCGAATTCCGTACCGCATCAGAATCGAACCCCGTTCATGCGAACCGCTGCGGGTGTGTATGTTAAGTTAACAACACCCCGAAATCAGTCCACAAAACGCGGTGTGATGTGCAGAATCGGATCGCATAGGTGTGAATACCCTTGCAATCCGATTCTAGTGTGGACCAAAAAAAGGGTCCTGCACCTTTTTGGTGCAGGTGCGATTAGAGCCATACATATGGCTCCAATCGCACTGCACAAAAATCGCATTTGATTTACACAGAAATGCGGTGCGGTTTCTGTGCGAATCATATGCGATGTACCGCACCGCATATATGTGAACCCGGCTTAGTGCTGCACTTTTGACATGTGAACAACAGCAGGACTGGCCATTGATTTGCACTGTGTGCATGCAACGTGTAGCTCCTCCACCACCCCTGGCTGCCCGTGTGAATGTAGCCGATTACTTTTAAACATTTGATTTCTCCAGTTTTGTTGGGTTACATGCAAAACAATTTTTTTATTCCTATTAAAGAAAGTGTAATGACTTTTCACTAGTGGAGTTACCCTAGGTTCACATCTGTGTGGGTGGTGCCGCTGCAGATCCGCACGAAAATCCGTGCAGCCACACCACCCACACATTCACTTGAATGGACTCCCGTGACACGCAGGAAAGAAGTTCCTGCACTTCTTTGGAAAACGCAGCCCACACAGGAACTGAGGTTCCCAGTACGGCTGCGTTTTCCAATGCGGGTGGCGCGCCATTAGAACTAATGGTGCCCGCCCCCGGGTCCGTAATTCTCTGTGCGGGTGGTGGGGCTGCACAGATTTTCGTGTGGATCCACAATGGCACCACCCACACATATATGACCCTAGGGTTAGTATCGCATTAATTTCAATGGGCTGCCCTATGCACAGAAACACACAAAAAAAGGTGCCATTTTAAAAATCACGCCTCACCACAACGCATAGTACTGAGGCACCATGGTTTTTGGTGTGCGCGAACGCACAAACATCAGCAAGATGTGTGGGGCTGCTATTAAGAATCAGTAGCACTGCTGCAAGGCTGTAAAAGAAAGTGAGTTCTTGTGCGTTGCAGGACAGCAAGCGATTTTACGCATGTTTCTGCAACACAATAAATCTGAATGAGGGTTTAGGAACAGGATAATATTTCAGAAAAATAAAGTATTTTTTCTTCTAAGGCTCCATGCACACTGGTGTTTTTTTTTAAGCTCATAGAAGCTGTTATCAGCATTTTTTTTTCTTCTCCTAGAAACTAAATAGTGTAATCCAGTGCGTCCATGCACACTACTTTAGGCTAGTAGCATTTAGGTGCAGAAAAAAAAAGAGTTTTTGGGAGTGCTTTTCCAGTAGAAAAAAAACACCGAACGCTCCTAAATCCTACTAAAACGCTCCTAATAGCTTTTTTTCTACCTTTTTTTTTTTTTTTTAATTCTAAATGTACTGTAAAAATGCTAATAAAACGCTAACGCTCCTAAATGCTACTTAACCCTAGGTTCACATCTGTGCGGGTGGTGCCGCTGCAGATCCGCAAGAAAATTCGTGCAGCTGCACCACCCGCACAGAGAATTGCGGACCCGCGGACGGGTGCCATTAATTCTAATGGCACGCCGCCCGCACTGGAAAACGCAACCGTACTGGGAAACCGAGGTTCCCGTGTGGGCTGCGTTTTCCAAAGAAGTGCAGGGACTTCTCCCCTGCGTGTCATGGGGCACGGGAGTCCTTTCAAATGAATGGGCTCTCATGCCTGTGCTAAATGCGGCCCGCACAGCTGCATAGATGTGAACTGGGGGTGAATGCTACTAAAAAACGCCATTACCAGAGATTTTTATCCAGCATTTTTTGAGCTTAAAAAAATGCTAGTGTGTAAGGAGCCTTAGCTGGCCATAGACGGGTCGAAAACCGGCCGTTTAAAAAAAAAGAAAGAAAAAAGAAAAATTGTTCATTCAATAGGCCGACGTTACCACCAACGGTAAAAAAAAAATCAGCCGATTTTCGTCCCGTCTGCGGCCGGCATTTAATTACTTCTGTCCCTGCACAGAGCTCCGCTGTTATATTTGACATGAAAAAGTATTGCGGTTGCAACATTGTATCCATTTGTATCCATTTCGGATACAGATGGTTTTATTTGGATACAATTAGATACATTGTTGCAATCGCAATACTTTTTCATGTCAAATATAATAGCGGACTGGAATTCTTCTTCTTCTTCTTGCAGGTCACGGCTCATGCGCAGATTTTTGATCGGTAAAACGATCGGCCGATTTGCCCATCATTGCCAGAAAATCAGCCGATCAGTAAAATCGGCTGATTTTTTTTCCAACTTTACCAATAAAAAAAAAAAAGTGCCAAAACCCAGAAAAACAGCCGACCAATTAACCCAACTGTGCAAAAATCGTCCGATTTTCGACCCGTCTATGGCCGGCATAAAAGACAAAAACAACAATCACAGGTATGTTTAGTATGAATTGAACATGCAGCTCTGGATTCTAGATACAAATCACAGCACACAGACCATTTGTAGTGAGCACTTCCACCTGGCAGCACTAGGGTGTCAGTTTGAATTCCAAGCTTGGCACTACTTGCAGATTCTCCCCCCCCGACAATGCTCCTGCACATGATGATGCGTTAAGTGTTTGTGAATTTCATCCTATTCCCTTGACTTAGAACCCTTAATGTTTCCAAACTGTAAAAATGTCTTAAAAGGACACAGATATGATGGCATTCCGGACATCCAGCACACCGCGACAAAGATACTGTACAGCGTTCTGGAAAAGGAATTCCAGGGCTGTTTCCGGCAGTGGCACAGTTGTTCTGTCTCTCCAATCTAAGCATTGATAGCGTGATCTCTGTAACTTACAGTTGTGAAGAGATAGCGATAACTTCAACCTCAGTTGGATACCACAGTCAGTGACTCAATGGATAAGACATCTTGTAAATCTTGTGAAGTTTATTCCATAAACTGAGAGAATCATACAATTAACATCTGATAGGTCAAAAGATCATACTGTTTTCTGCTCCATGACATGAGGCTAGAGCTGCAATGCATTCCTGGGAAAAGGGGCAGGCTATCTATACAGCATGAACTAAACCAAAGGAACGGGAGGAGCAGAAACACAATGTAGAAACACTTAAAGGCATATGACAGTCAAGTGAAAAATGACAATAGTCATCTAGAAAAGTGCGTCACTTCACAAGGGGACTACTTTGAAGGTGACAACAGTCATCTAGAAAAGTGCGTCACTTCACAAGGGGACTACATTGAAGGTGACAACAGTCATCTAGAAAAGTGCGTCACTTCACAAGGGGACTACTTTGAAGGTGACAACATTCATCTAGAAAAGTGCGTCACTTCACAAGGGGACTACTTTGAAGGTGACAACAGTCATCTAGAAAAGTGCGTCACTTCACAAGGGGACTACTTTGAAGGTGACAACAGTCATCTAGAAAAGTGCGTCACCTCACAAGGGGACTACTTTGAAGGTGACAACAGTCATCTAGAAAAGTGCATCACCTCACAAGGGGACTACTTTGAAGGTGACAACAGTCATCTAGAAAAGTGCGTCACTTCACAAGGGGGCTACTTTGAAGGTGACAACAGTCATCTAGAAAAGTGCGTCACTTCACAAGGGGACTACTTTGAAGGTGACAACAGTCGCTAGTGTATAGGTAAGCAAACATCTTTTCTTTTTTTTTTTACAGTCCATTACGGGAATAAAATTGTCACCCCTCATATATTTACAACATGTCTTTGTAGTGACTTTATGCCTATTTCAATACTAATTAAAACTTTTTGGGATTAAAGAATAAAAATGAGTAAAAAATTGAATCTCACTGTTTTTTATCGCTTATTTTATATCCACAGCAAATAGGTAAATAATTGTATGTGTATATATAGGATATCAGTATGACTGCATGAAGGATACATTTAGATGTAGTGTCTTGTGAGTCAGGGGATTCCAGACATTACATCTCATACAGTTGAGAACTGGTAAAAACAACCCTAACCCCCTCCCATCCCCCTCCCGTGCGTCTCATAGAGCGTTCCCTTGGAAATTGGAGTGCCTCATCTGGGTATCAGCTTCCTTCTATCTCTTTCAGCTGACACTGCCGCAAGGAATGTATTTACACAGAGAAACTGGATAACAAAAAAAAAAAAAGCAGCAAACCCAGAGAGATTAAAGTGCCGATATGTCCCAAAACAAATGAGACGCTGGGGCCCTTTCCTATGGCGGTTGTTTCATCCCCACCATCGCTGGGAACAGAAGTCCGGTGACTGGGTTTACCAAACCACAGATATCTCTACCCCATTCTGGGATCCACAGCACCAGTAAGACGTGATCTGTAACAATTTGTGGCACTCAATCATTAAACGCCTCTTTGCATATCGTGTAATTCTGTGCACCATGGGGGAAGATTTACTAAGACTGGAGCACTCAGAACTTGGGCGGACTGACAACTCATGGGGCCCCCGGGCAATAGGGGATCATGGGGCCCCTGTGTCCTTGCCCAAACTCAAAAAAGCCTATGAAAAAGGTACCAGGGGCATCTCATGGGGCCCCCTACTGGCCCAGGGCTCTCGGGCAGTGCCCGAGTTTCCAAATGGTCAGTCCCTGACTCAGAATCTGGTGCAGCTGTGCATGGGAGCCAATCAGCTTCTAACTTCAGCTTGTTCAATTGACTTCGCCGCTTCCCGGCCCTTTAAGGGTTTCAGAAGCCGGGAGGCGGGGCAGGGTGTTAGGGTCATGTGACCGCCGTGATTCACCGTCACAGCGGTCACATGACTGGGAAAGGTCCCGATCGAAAGAGGAGATCAGGACCCTTTCCATCACTACCAGACATGTATGTTGGGAGCGCGCAGGGCGATCGCTCTCAGCACATATGTTTTTTTTTATTTGCACACAAATGTGCAGCCGCTCGGCGTCTAGGCCCAGATACCGGGAGGAAGCACATTTGTGTGCGGCCCGTGTGAAGAGGTTAAACTTCGGCAATAAAAACCTGAGAGCTGATCAGTTTCTATGCAGAGCTGCCCCAAATTTTGCACTCTCCAGTTTTAGTAAATAACCCCCAATGTATGCAAGAGTAGGACCTTTTCCCGAGGGTAACATGTGATTTCTAAATTGAATTGATTGGCTTCTGCTTTCTAGAATCATTTTCTAAGTCCTCATGCACACTGGATGTTTTTACAGCGGTTGTTTTTGGCTTTTGGCATTTTTTTCTACAGCTAGTAAACCCCCCAGCATGTTATCCTATGTGTCCATACACACTTAGGGCTCATGTACACTGCAGCTGATAAACTCACATTTAGGAGTTGTTCAGCATTTTTTTCAGCAGCCCCTAATCTCTCCCTAATGTTTTCCTATGTGTCCATGTACACATTGTCATTTACAGGCATTTGAGTTTACAGTCGTTTTTTTTTTAACGCGTTCAGCAGTTGATTTTATTAGTGTTTCAAAGACAAAATGCGTGTAAACGTGGCTAAACTCAGCAAATCGCGTTTATAAGCATTTGCATTTGAAATTTTTTTTCCAGTTCCTCTTCCAGTTCCCGATGCTTTCCAGAGCCTTTTTTCATCATGAAAAATGCATGCAAAGCGTTTTCAAGGTACTCAAATGGACAAAACACTGAACACAGGATGTTCCTACCAAGCTTGTCACACATGGTAATGACCAATTCACACCTCAGACCTCTCCCACCCTTGGAAACAAAAGATATGTTAATGACTATTCACACCTCAAATTCCTCCTGAAGACCCCCTGCCAGGTGACCTTAATGACTCCCTCCACCAGACACCTTTCCCACCCTTGGAAACAAAAGATATGTTAATGACCATTCACACCTCAAATTCCTCAAGAAGACCCCCTGCCAGGTGGCCTTAATGACTCCCTCCACCAGACACCTTTCCCACCCTTGGAAACAAAAGAAATGTTAATGAGCAACTCACACCTAAGCTAATCTCAACACATGCTGCTGTCTCTGCTTCTACTCTCTGTATTTCTCTGAAACAGTCTGAAATAGTTAATAATTTACCACTTTTCAGTGGATTCTGGGCATTTGAGAGGTTCTCCTGTGCTTATCTTTAAAAAAACGCTTCTAAACGCAAATAAACACGTTATGCAAACGTGGTTAAACAGACATTTTTTAACCTACGTTTTCCAGCAGTCAGTTTCCATTGTTCAGAAGTGTCTCGTGTACATGGGGCCTTAAACTGTAATCTACGTTTTTTGGCAGGGACGATTTTTTGGCTGGAAAAAACCCTTAGCATTAGTGGGTTGCTAGAGGAGTTTTTTTAGCTGTAAAACCACTCTAATGCTGAAACCGAGGTAAAACGCTGCAAAACAGTGTTTTTGTACTTTTTTTGACCCAAAAAAATGCTAAAAAACACAAACGCGGGAAAACTCCGCTAAACGTGGCTAAACACTAATGCAAAAACGCTGAAAAACTCATGTTTTTAATAAGACTTTACACAGCTAACGTTACCAGCGTTATCAAAACACCTCGTGTGTGTGAGGGCCAATGCTCATCATAGGCAAGGCTTGTTAAATATCTAGTTTACTTAAAAAATGTTCAGTGCCCATTTACTCACCATGATCAGTTGCAGGTCTCCTTAACTCCATTTTCCACAACTGGGTTCCTGGACATGCGCAATAGCTGATGTGTATGTGAATGGCGCTGGACTGGTAAAAGTGGAGTAATAGCATTGTTGGATGTAGAGTAGAGTAAGTTCTCCTTCAATGGGGCTGACAGGGAATGAAGGTGTATTGTAAAAGGACCTTGTTCTGGTCCCGGAATGCTACCTCTCTGATATGCTCATGCTCATGCTGGGAT